TAAAGGATTAACATGTAAATAATTAGTCACCAGAAAAGCCTGGCAAGAAACCCACAATATGGCCTTGCCTGATAAGAGGAAGATTGATAACCTTGATGTCTGCTATTTTAGACAATAATTATTCATTATCTGCAAGTGTTTGGATGGCAAGGCGCTCCAAACTCTTTTCTTTCTACTCTTTGAAGTCGCTGCACTGACCTTCTGACTGAATCAGTCCCTTTTATGTTTTCAGTTTCTTTATCTAATAATTTACTTAATAGAGCTCTAACTCCCTGGAGACTCAGATTTCTCTAGGATGGAATTAAGAAAATAAATGTAGTTGTTTGCCTAAGGAACAAAGACTGGTATCTCATCTAGCTATCTCAAGAGATCAGGCCGTTGACCCAGAAACCCCATTCACATGGGTTTTGTACCTGTCGGGGATCAAAGGCAGGGACATTCTGTTGTCTAACCAAAGAGCACTACAGGAGGCAGAAAGAACCCGAGGAATGTTCTGTCTTCATACTCTTGCAAGACTTAAACAGAGCAGCACTTGTTCCTGGTCTTACAGAGCTCAAGAGACTAATGACTGCTCAGGAAAATGAAGCCATCCATCCTGCCATTAAAGCAGATGCAGGAAGAGTTTATGCATTACCTTTACAAGTTATAGTAGCATATTAAAACAAAACAGGGTCATGTGAATGAAGAAATGAGGTTTTAGGGGTTTACCGAAACTAAGGACATTATACTTGTGGTGACAACACTGTATTTTTAATTGTAAGTAAGAGAGCAAATAACACTGCAGGTGACGAGTTCACAGCAACAAAAATTTCTCTGGCAGATAAACTGACAGCAGCCTAAATTTAGCTGTCAGATATATATAGATAAACATAAAAATATACAGATAACTCAATATCTCTCCTTTCTTTCTGAGAGCAAAATGTTGTTCAGAAAGGACATAACCTTGGATTCTTGACATTGTTAACTGCAGGACATTTTGAACATAACTTCTTACATGCTCAGTAGATAGAATGCATTAATAGCCTATTGACCAAGGTGAAAACTAACAAGAACTTGCCTCTTCTTTTATTCCCACCATCCAAGGAAATGTACTGATGCCAGACTGTACATAAAAATAACTTTGGAGATTTCCTTTTACAGGATAAGTCTTGTAATGTTGCACCTCATAATTTTTTGATATCCAAAGTATTAAAATAAATGATATGAGGTTGCAGAAAGGGCTTCAAGTCTGAAGTGTTACAGTGACAGAAATTTCTTAATGAGCAGATGGGTGTCTTTGGAATGTAGCAGGGTGAGTCAGTGAACCTCCTGTTTCTATTTGTGGACACTACACAAACTTGACAACACCCTAATTAAATGGTAAGGAAAGCTAACAGAGCTCCCAATCGAAGTGGATACCTAATGGGAGGTAAAGAGTCTCCACCACTTCAAAAGGCTACCCCAAACATTATTTGCTCAGGGAAACCTGTCGCTAAGTTTGATGAGAAATGTATTTGCTTAGGTTTTTATTATTTCACTGTTGTAAGTAGCCTTAGAACACAAGTTCAAATTAAGTATAATTGGAAGTGTAATAAATACAATTAGATAAAGTCTACTTCTGGAAAAAAAAAAGTAACAGTGGAAATGAAAGAAAACAACTAAAATCAATGACTCTCCTTTTAATGTGCTGTTCCTTGTGCCTGGAGGAAGTTCAGGATACTGTGAGATTACCCTGGTTATGATTTGATGGGAGAGAACATTTTGGAAAGCAATGAGTCTCCAGAAATCCACCATTATTATCATACAGCATATGCATGTCATTTTCCATGAAAGTAATGGATTTCTTTCCTCCAGTTTCAAATACCTGTGTCCTCCCTGTGTAATTATGCCCTGGTGCAGCAAAGCGACATGAAGGAAGTTCCATATTCACCTGAAACAGCCTCTACTCTAAAATCCTGCTTTCTGTATAAACTGTCAATCTATTCATCAGAACCAGAATATGTGTCAAAATCAAGATATACAGACATCATCTTTCCCACGTTAAGTTCTTGCACTGAAAATATCCTTTCTCTCACCTCAGGTCAGAATCATGTTTTATTGGTAAACTTACATTTCAACTGGTTAATGTATTTGTCACCATTATGCTCTTTTTTTGATTCATTACAGATTGCTTGGGTTCTAATAATAACTGTAGGGACCAAATATTGTATTAATCATTTCAAAAAAATCAAATTTACTATACAAATGGGTAATACATGGCAGAACTTCAGGTAATATTATGGAAAAACATTGGCCCAAAGTGTTTTATCTTCACACAGAATAGTATTATGCAAATACATTTATTTAGCACTTTTTTCTTTTTTTTTTTTTTTTTTGGTAGTGCTTGGCTTTAGGAGGAATTCCTGCAAGTGAAACAGCGCTAAAAATGTACTAGAGATTAAGATTTATTATGTGCATGTGTTGATTTTACGTGTATGGATCAATGAAAAACTGTATTCCCCGAAATAAAAACACTTTCAGCCCTTTTCATCTGTTAATCCTTAGAGCTATGTACTGCTGCTTCTGTGTCTGAAACTTTGAAAAGTAGTCTAGGGGATTTAGACACACATCATCTGTTAATTCTGGTGGAAGACATTTATCTAAATCCCTTAGACTTTTTTTTTTTTTTTTTTTTTTTAATAATTATTTGAGGCTTCCTTTTATCTGCTCACTTTCCCTTCATAATGACATTGATTAAGCACTGCCTGTGTTAAAAGTGTTACCTCTCTGTTACCGAAGGGGATTTAGTCAGCTTTATACCACAGGAACAAGAAGGGTAGAACTGCTAAAAAAGAACCATACAAATATATGAACTGCACTTGATTTTTTTTTTTCCAGACCAGACTGTATCTTTGGAAGTGTATGAGCATGCCTGGTGCACTGGCTACCTCATATATTCTGGAATTCTTCTGGCATTAAGATAATGTTATTTGGGGGGTAAAAATACCACCACAATTGCTATTTATTATTAATTGCGACTTTATCTGTTATAATACAGTTTGCTCTTTTCCTCTTTTGCTTTATTATAAAGTACTTCTTGATAAAGTTCAAGAAAAAAAATCATTTCCCATTTTCCCATTCTTTATACAAACATAATTTCTTGCAGGAGCTCAACAAAAAGAAAAAGAAAAGAAGAAAGAAAATCTCCCTTAGGAATAACCTCTTAAGATTTTTCTATCTTTTATTCCAGTCATTTTATATCCAGAAGACTGCAGCAGTGGAAAAGAGAGGTCAAAAGGTGGAAACATCAATGCTTATGTAATCCCCAAAGAGGATTATTCCCCTCACAAAAATGGCTGGTATGACATGTGAAATTAAGGATATTCATTTTGTGTCTGCACATCACTTGTAATGAAATTGGTGAATCTTTAGAAAAATAGAGCAACAAGAGAACAACCAAGCTTTTTCCATGGTATCAGCATGGATGGTATTAAAAGTTCAAATCAGTTATTCCACCACATCACTTGTCCAAGAGCTCTGTGGAGCTCTTCTTACTCTCTAGTTCACTGTACACATCTGTGAACTAAAGGACAACAGATACAGATTTATTAGAAATGGGAGAGAGGGTACTGCTTGGATTTTAGCACTCCCATTAGTGCTGGCAAATATGAATGCATTGTTTTCTCATTTGGACTGGGGCTACACCCATTCCCGGATGAATAAAACACATTTATCACTTTTCTGTGCCAGAATTACACAATCATCTGATGTGGTCTACGACATGAGAATAACAAAATTATAATGATTTTCAGGCACAGTGTATACATAGCACTTTGTAGGGCAAAACCACTGGACAGAGACTTTTCACTCACTTCATCATGTCATTGAATGCAACAGTCAAAGGAATTTTATAAGTTTGGTGGAATGCAGTACTCAAAAAAAACACAATCAGCCTCTAAAGATCTGCTGAATGTGCCAACTCAACTTCCAATAAAATTGTATGGGAAAAAAAAATGACATTCATTAGCCTCAGGTCTAATATTTCGAAATTAACACTTACTGAAATTGGTACTTATACACACTTCACATACGAATGACCACATGCTTAAAACCAAACAGGACACCTTCTAAGACCTCACTTTCATAACTGCATTTCCCTATACATACACGTATGTGTTCATTGTAAATATTAAAACTTCCCATGGAGAGTAAACCAATGCATTACCTTTATACAACAGGATTAGATAGATAGTACTTTCACCCAATCAAATCAGTTTGACATCAGAAAAGGGATGAAGAAATTGCCCTAAAAAGTAAATCAAGCTCATCTGTTATCTCTGATTTTACCGATTTATTTTAAATCCAGGAATATTTTCTAAATCTAGTAAATGAATTCTTATTTTTTTTCCTCAGTACACCAGAAATAATTGGAGAGGGAAAAATGGATCATTAGATTACAACTCAAAAGTAGAATTCGCTGGAACATAGTGCTTTGACTAAACATTTTCTTGCTAATTGTACACGTTTACTCATTCTGTTGACATATGTTAATAATTTCTTAATATTTTAAAAAAGTAGGTGATGAAATTATTTGTGTTGGCATCATTTAATTTATATCTTGTTATGTTCCTGCCTACTTTCTCATAGGAAACAAAATGTCAACCAGTTTCTGCAGTGACAAAATAATATGGTTTCATCTGATTGTCACTGGTGATATTTTTGACTCATTTTTCATGGTTCTGCCACTACAGATTCATAAAGATGCTGCATCTCCACATTTGGATATTGTTTTTCAGCAGCAATTTTTCATACTTGACCAATGTGATTTTCACTGCTGTGTGCTGACTTTTCCTATGATATGATTATCTGTATCAATTCAGAAGACTTAAAATACTATCTCAGCTTTGACTGCAGATAGTTCTGTGAAAACAGAGAGTTATTCCACTATCAGGAGCACTCAGATAAACTTATACCAACAATTTGCTGTCATTTGTAGAAAGTTCTGAATTAAAAAGAAAAACTTATCAGGTCAATATTCCTACCTTCCAACTCCCAGCAGCCAAGTTCTGCAGTGCCCCTGCTGCCCCCTCCAGCGTGTCTGGATTTGAGCACTCAGAAAGAAGTGTGAGGTAGGGTTTGACTATTGAAGGGTGCCACAGCATCTGGATTCCTTTGGGTGGTTCTGCACAGTCTGGGAGAGGTCCTACTCCATCCCACTGTGGGAAAATAAAAATCAGATTGTCAGCAAGAAACAGTGACATACTTGAGAGCTGTCTCAGTTGAAGCTATAACACCTCGTATGTGTGTGCATGTAGGCATCTGCAGGCACACAAGCAAACACTCAATTTTAGCATTTCATGTGATGGTTCTTCATAGGGAAATGAAATTTCCTACAGAACACTCTTTACAGAAGAGCTGTAGCATTGGCAAAAATCACAGTGACATAGCTAGCTGACATTTATTTGTTTGGTTGGGAACAGAAATCAACTGAACATAAGTGTATTAAGAGGTAAATCTAGAACTTGCACAGGAAGAGATCGGATCAGTTCTCTGCAATCTCTAGTTTCATGAGAGGGAAAAAATAACAACTCTAGAAAACTAAATCATTCAAGGGCATGAGCATGCCATCCCTTGACAGGCCCAAGCATGGCTGAGGTGTAAATCTTCCCCAGCCATGTAACTTCTGAATGCCTGCATGTGTTCTGCATGCATTTGGTGATTTGTTTGGTAGGACCAACTCTCACAATAATACACTCTTCCTCCAACCAAATACAGTGTTTTGTCATGAAAACGATCCTAGCCTGATATCCAAAATAGTCGATATTAAAACCTGGACAACAAGCTGGATATTGCATAAAAGCTACTCCTACTGGAAAGAGAAACCTTATTCTAGAAGAACACTGATTTACCTTTCTACTGGAATGCACAAAACTTGCACTTAAGCATGAAACATCTTAAAAGAAGGAAATTCAAGGACCACTTTTATTTTTCTAAACAAAAGTAATTTGTGGAATACATTTTTAATGATATTTTAAATACATGATTTTTATCTACATACGCAGTAAATGTGTATTTTGCTTTGCACTGATAAATGGATTTAGAAAATTCACAGCCTTAATACCCCTACTAAAACCAAGCCTTGACTTTTTAATACAGTCTTTTTTTATAACACCTCTGACATGTACAGATTTCATGTTGTGGTACAAAATAAAGCTTTTAGTGCCCACTGTGATTATGTAGATCAAAAATATGTATCAGAACATTAAATATCTACTAGACATACGAAGTTAGCACAGGAAAATTAATTTCTTGTGTTGATTTGCAACTGTTAATTTTCCTAGTTGATTTAATCAGTTATGATTCATAACAACAACAGTATTCACACTGGGAAAGACCTAGATTCTCTCATTTTCAAGAAGTATAAACTATAATTTTATTTAAGCTAATTTTAGAAATCCATGTATAATCTAAAGGACAATGAAGCCTTATCCAGTAACAGTTAACATATCTTAATCAATCATAACAAGATTTTGCTAGATTACTTCTGAGAATCAAGACTATTTTTTTTTTTTCTGAATTAAAGTAAAACACCAAAATGGAAAGCTAGTGGGACTGTTTAACACACGAGCTATTACTCAAAACCAGAAAGTTGCTCTGATATAAAACTCACTGTACTGGCCAAAAGTTACTATAGTTTAAGAGAATTGGCACAGCAATACCCAGCTGTGGCTGGGAAACAAGAGGAAAACTGCCTTCTGGAACAAAAAAGTCACTTTAAAAAAATGGTGTTATAGGGCTATTCTAAGATTTTTTTTCAATTAAATTCTGCCTTTAAACCAATAGGTTCATTTCACTGTATATGACACTGTTCTCCAATTTAGTCCATATAAATCACCATTCTTGCTAGAAACGTCCTCTTGCCAGCTCATAAAAAATACATAAAAACCTGCTTCTTATTTTAACTCTTGGAATTCAATCATTTGCACTGTCAGAACTTTTTGGAAAACAAATGAAAAACATGTCTTCCAGATCAAATCTGACTTCACACCAAATCTGGGCTTAGTAAGTCCACTAATGATTGACTTGTGATGTCCGAGGGCACAAGTTCAGGTCTTCATCCATCTCATTCCAATTTGCATGTATCGCAGATGCATTATACAACTGAACAGAGTTTGCACAGGGTACTTATTATACTATTTCAGGAACAAAGTACCTACCATGTATCAAATGTATCAGATCTATCCAATATATTTTTGTGCACATGTGGGGATATAATTAAAAAAAAACCACAAACAAACTCAGGTATTTACACTCATACAATCCCAAGGACTGCTGAAAATCAGTGAAAATCAGCTGATGTGAATAGAGCTGTATATGTGCTCATGCTGTACTGGTACATATAATGCACTAGGAATCATAATTGCAGAAAAATTAATATTTAACGCGGTTTTGCCATTCTTCCCAGTAATGAGAAAGTGTTTTTAAAAAATGTGTGACAGATTACTGCATTTCCCTGCTGTTCTTGCTACTCACTTTTAGTACATAATCACATAAATTTATCACCAACTATGAAGGAAAATGTCTGTGGGAGACCTTTTCTCAACACTGTGATGCCTCAGAGTCACTGGAGGGGTGACGAAGGGTTTGGTACCTCACATGCACATGTGGCACGGGTGCAGTAAAGGCGGTGAAGCACTGCTTAAGCCTCCTGCACTGTTCTTCAGACTTGGTATGTGTGTGCCAGGAGCAGCTGAGTGGCACGCACAGGCAGGGGTTAACTGCTAATCATGCACAGCATACATACTGCGCCTGTGGTAGCTTCTTAAAGGTCATGCAACAAAGGGTCACAAAAAAAGATGCTCCTGTAGCCAGGTTCTGATCCTTTCTGGGAGGCAGAGGGCAAAAACATCCATGACCTTTTATGCTCTCCCTATTTCCACGCTTAGCTCTTTCCTCCTGCGTGTGTGATCTCATCTAAACTCATGGAAGGGCTTAATGGCTTCTGGCATCTTCCTCCTAGATGAGACCAGCGCCTCACCTGAGACACGAGGCATGTGGGACTAACACAGGTCAGAAAAGAAGTTATCGCTAAAGAAATTCTCCTGATCTTCACCCATTTATTTTCTTTTCTATAGATATAAACATCAACTTCCCAAGTCAAAAAAGGCAATTTCCCCAAAATGATATAACAATACATTTTCTCAAACAGTGGCTAAGATGTGGCAGAAGTTGCTCTGTAGTTCACCTTGCTCAATATTAATGAGCCGAGGCAGTGTGTTAAATGACTCTAACCAGTGAATTACTGGAACAGTTACTGTGTTGTTGCAGACCATCAGGAATGATCAATAAGGTCTATTTGAGATAGGCTATGGATGTAGTAGGCACCTCTGAAAAAGAAGACAACTATATTCAATTACTCTTCCTAGCTTATGCTAAGGAGGAAGCAAGTCATAAACAAGTATTCTTTCCAGGCTTCCCTGCTTCAGCTGAAATTACCCACATATATTGTGGCTGAAGCTGACAAACTGTTCGTTATGTGGGTAAGATACGAATCTCTCATTTCCTGAAACTGGTGCCAAGAAGAGATGAAAGTCAAGAAGAATAAAAAGCTGAATATAAAAATCTTTAAGAACTTCAAGACTTTTGAGAGTTAGAGTACTCTAATAAGTTTTTCAAGTTTTCACATTTCTAAGGAACTTTGAGAGGAGCAAAAGATCTCTCACTGAGGTGCTTCTCCGTGCCACACAACCAATTATCTATCACATTATTTCTCTTTTAATAAAAAACATGTTTATTGCAGGATTATACTGAATAACTGGAAAGGTTTCAACTCTGTAAGAGTTCAGTGTTCTCTATTTTTTCCCCACTAAAAATGCAAATTAGGAGGTGTTATTAAAGAGTATCAAAATATAAATGTCTTTTACCTCTGATAACAAGTGATTTCATTTTCATTTATTAAACATAGACATTTTCCTATACAAAATATGACTATTAAAACAAGAATATCTAGGGGAAAAAAAAGAACCACAACCAAACAAAATCGATTAATGTCTAAAAACTTTCTCCAGTGATCGTAGGCATTTAAGATACTCTTATTATGCTGTAGTTATGCTCTTTGTATCCGCATTAAAAATAAATAAAAATTTGTATCAGCAATTTAACAGTCCTCACCAAAAGCATTTTTTGAAATTCCAAAGACTTTTAAACAAACAGGACAATGATTTCTCATCCTGCATATCCTAGTGACTGTGGAAGTCTATGCCAGCTGTCCCTAGGTATGTCAGTCCAACAATCTCTTTGGGAAACTGTTGTCCAAGAGATGCACTGGCCAGTGCTGTAAAGAGCAGAAATCTGAAGTTAAGTGACAAAAGAAAGACAGGTGTGTTACAGTTCGACCCATTCATATCCAGACATGCTATTTTTCTTTCTGCACTTTAGATAACTGCAAGTGTAGTTTGTGGGAACTCTTAATTCAGGAACAGGGATGATGACTGGTTTATGGGATGAACTTAGTTTGATTTGGCACTCTAATTTCATTGCAGCCTAACACAGGAATCCCCCCAAAAGGCCATAATAAATGCCAGCTATCTAATGACTGCAGTGTTTAACTACAAGAACAGGTGAAATTAAAATCTTACTAGTCATGGCCACTGCATTTTTCAGCACCTGAATCTTAGCTTGTTAATGTTCCTACAACTCTTCCACATTAATAGATTTTGCCTTTATGAAATCTGGAATATTTTCAATAATTGTTTATATCATTTATTCAAGTACCCTGTTTGCCTAATTGCTTGCTCAAATGAATATTACCTTTGAGCAATCTGAACGAGAAATAAGTAGTAACAGAAAGGAGTAGGTCTAGTAAGAGATGGAGAACTACCTGCTGCCAAGTCACTGGAAAAATTTCACAAATCAGCAGCCATTCTCATTGCTATTTAGTGTGATAAAACAAGGTCTGTAATATCATTGCCAGCATTCCCCAGTTTTTCTGTCAGAATGGGAAAGTAATGAAATAAACACACTTTCAATGCACCTAAACCAAAAACCCACTGTACCTCAAATAACTTGAGAAAATTAAAGACCATAATTCTCAGTCTTCGCTAACATTAATTATGTCAAAACATGTACAACATTCACTCACATCCCTTGATTCAGTCCTCTACAATTTCCTCTTAAAATGCAAAGGCAGAGTACGAGACTAACTTTGAAACAAATACATATATCTGAATTGGTCAAGCACTGGAATGGGCTGCCCGGGGCGTGGTGGAGTCCCCTAGAGGTGTTCAAGAGATGTGCAGACATGGCTTGAAGGGACATGGTTTAGTGAGGTCAGGTGGATGATTAGAATTGATCTTAAAGGTCTTTTTCAACTTAGATGATTTCTGATTCTATAATTCTAATTATAAGCCTGATGTTTGTCTGTACCAAGGACTCTACACACATGGCTATGGATGCAGATTACATCTGAATGTTAAGCTAACTTTTAATCATTAATAGTTTCCTTTAATTGACTGAGCAGTTTACAGTACTTATTCCATTCACAGTATACACATGACTACAGTTTCCAGGTGCCAACGTGTAACATGGAGCTCTGTTAAGCAAATATATTTATTTTCATTACTGCAGAACCATACTCTGCTGTAAGCTCTCAGCTAATTAACAAAGGCAACAGTTTTGCATATTATGCCCTATGTACTTTATTTCTAATACAGTGCATAAATTATTAATATTGTCATGACAGGCATTTCAGCTACTTGCAATGCAATCGCAAGTAACTTTCATTACCTGATCTTGTGATTTCTTTTTCTTCTTCTTCTTCCCCCAGCACCCTGAACTCTCCGTGTCTTTTCCATTGGCATCGCCACAGAGTAATCCATCAAGTTCATCTGTTCCCATCTGCTGTCCCTGAGATGTTTCTGCAGCTAGCCTGTATGAGAGGTTCCTCAAAATGCACACACAGTTTTCAACGGTCTGAAAAGTGTGACAAAAAGAAAAAAAATACAACAAAGAAAAACAGAAAAAATTAAAATCCTTCCCTTGCTCACTCTGTATACAAAGCAGACAAAATATCACTAATCTCTGCACATACATTTTCCTAGCACAATTTTTATCTGTTCATAAACTTACTCCTGAGTAACCACTGCTTAAGAGATATAGAAAAAATTGGCACTATCTCACACCCTCTTTTTATGGAGAGAAAGAGAGAAAACAGCAATATGGGCAATATTTTTTCCACGATTTTTTAATTGTCTTTCAAAACTTCATGCTGAAGCCTTATGTGAAACAGAAGCCAAGGTTAAAAGTGATCAAAAGAATGCGAATGCACAGAGAAAGCCAGTGAATTCCCACTTTGGTAAACAGAAAATGCTACACAGAAAGTGTCAACAGTTTTGTACGTTTGTTTGCTTTTAATCCAGAAATAACATTTATTTCTGCCATCAATTCTATGAAAATTACCAGAAAAAAAAATATGGATCTGAGTACTGTTTCAGAAGTACTTGTAGCATTAACAAATCACGTTTCCCAAGGCTGAGAAGTAAGACTATGAATTTCAGGACTCTTGCTTTTAGCTAGGCTGCAAGTGATTTGTGAATAGCCCTTCCCTTTCATTCATTTGTCCCCCAAATAGATTGGGCCTTGTGCAAAAGATATTGCTGAACATCCAGAAACGGACTGAGACCCAGTGGAGGAAAACTATGGCACTGATAATTCAGCAGAATTTCTGCAATTCTAAAACAAGTTCAATTTTAGACTTCCTTGAAGCCTACTCATTTACCTGGTTCAATTTGTTTTGACTATCATTGTAAGAAGAATCTTGCTTAATTTCTGAGGGCAGGGAGAGCATGGTTTTCAAAAAAGAAAAATCTATCTTTATCTGTTTCAACAGTTCCTAATGCTCTGTGGAGATAAAAAAAAAAAGTGATAGTCACTACAGCCCAGCTCTGATGCTCCATTGACCCAGAACAGAATGAATATGAGTTTTCAGCTCTATCCTACTCTGCCATGTTCACCAGCAAGGCAAGCAGATGGAGCTTCATTTACTTCTATGTATTGTATGAGATTATGCCAGGTATGCATTTGGCACACAGTTTTTGAGATGACATTATTCTGAGATGGTATTGAAAAGACTTCTCCTGACAGGATTATTATCATTTTCTGAGTAAATGAAACTTCACATTACACTTGCACTGATTTGAAATCCCCAGTCAAACACATAAACACGTATAAAATATATATATAAATAAAAGTGTAAAACCTCCTAGTACCTTCCATACCTGGAAGCTATGACCTTATAGTGACCATAAATTTTAAAAAAGTTTGTTGCCTCTTACTCTTCTTTAATACTTCCATATTTGAATTTTATTCACTGTTGTTAATAGTTACACCTGTCCAGCCATAACTTGCTGAAATTGCAGCTTTGTGTTTGTTGATTATGGATTGATATTTTATTTCCCATTCTTACTAATAGTAGTTTTCACTCTTTATGTTCTCATTCTGCCAAAAAACAGCTTGCTGAGTCCACCATGAGGACAATTTTACCTCACAACAGAAACTGACATGGCCTCAAAGGCAACCGATACCTTTGTCATTTGGGTAAACTCATATAAGACAAGAAAGCTGGTTTACTCATGTAGCTGGACAGACCTCACTTCTTTCTGATTTATAGCTCTGAACTTTCAAAGGACCTTACATTCCTCATTCCTACAGTCTTCAGCTTCATCAAAAAGGGCTGAAATACAAGTTTGGCAGCCTTTCTTCTTTAATAGATCAAATTTAATTAAGAACAGTAGCTTTGTCACGTAACCACACCTAACTCACTCACTTTTAACATCATTAAGTATCATAGCTTTTTCTTACTAGAAGATACCACTGCCAAGATGTTCATAATGTTGATAAGATTTATGCACTCTTAACTGCACCTGCATGAATCGTTTATCAATTCTGCCTGTGCTTACAAGTCCCACACCCTCTTTTGGAGTCTGCAAGAGCAGGGACCTGTTTTTCAGCATTCAGTTCTTTGTCAATAACTCTACTATAAAATTGTCTAGTAGCACAGTTGTCATGGCATTTGGAAAATGACATTTACAATTCCAAAAAAAAAAAAAAAAGAACTATAAAATTGTTATAGCAGCAGCATTTTTGTAACTAGATTACAAGATGATTTAGAGCCAGTTATTAAATTATTAAGTTTAATTAAAACTACTTTCTACTTTGTGAAAAGGATGCAAGACAAGAGGCAACAGTATGGTGTTTTTTTCTTTAACTGCACAAGTGCTTTACATCGTAGAGTTGAAAACCTGTTGGACAAGAGGTTAAAACTACTAAGCCAGGGAGAATAATTTCTGTCTCATGTCCTCATTTTTTTCCTCAATATGATTTAGCCTACAGTTTTTACCAAGTCCACAACAGTTACATATGAGGGCATAGAGAGAGCATTGCATATTATTGATAAGAGGCAAAACAGGGAGCTTACTGTGCTCCTTATTTAGTCCCTTTAGTAGTATAACAATCTTAAAATCAGCCTAGTAACCTACAAAGAAATTGTTGAAAGAGCAGCAGCTAAGCCGTGGGATGGTGAGCAACCTGCTTTCTTCCCTACTCCTCAATCTACCTCCTGGTCTGCTCCACTGATGCCCCCCAAACTTCTTTCTAATAGACAAACTGAATCAGAGAGCTTTGAAACAACTCCCAGTTCAGCTTTTCCAAAGCTAATGAAGCAAAAATCACCCCCACATTTCTGGGCTGCTCTGCAGGAGGTGGCACTAAGGGGCAGGAAGGTGGCTGCTGGGTTTGCTCAGGGCACTGTTGAAAGTGTGGTGCCTACTTTGCGGGCGAGCCTCATTCGGTCATTACTACTCTACTAAAGGTTTGCTAATGGAAAGCCTACCCTAGACTACTCAGTTGTGGTGGGTTTGGGGTCTTTTGTTGCCAGACCTGCACTGCGTGCTACAAACCTTTTGTTATTCCTTCCTCTGTCCCCTGGATGTCTGAGCAAGTTTCACCTATTCGGTTTAGCTAACAAACAGAAAGTTCTGGGGTTTTTCCCTCTCCAGTCTACAAAATACCAGAAGTTCATAGACAACTCTGTGAAAGGTCATTCAGAAATACAAAGCCAGGAGGCTTTAAAACTTTGCTAAGTAAAAGGACACACTACTCTGATTCTTAAGGATTGGTAATTTGACCAAGGTTGTCCTAAAGCAACAATTAGAATTACTTTAGCACCATATACTGAATGCAAAAAGTATTTGAAGCTAGCCTTTTCCTTCTTCTCTGGAATACTTTAATGTATTTGATATACCACAGCCCTTCAGTTTCTAAGTTCTTGATGTCCTTTTAATTAAGCAGTGCCTTTCACCTTTGGAGGATCATGTCCATATCCTAGTACTTTCAAAGAAGTGAAGTTGACATAAAAATACATCTTAAAAGAGTTACTGAAAGCATTCATTGATCCTCTTCAAAGAAGAAATCACGTTGGTACCACTGTGAAATTGCCTATTAATTGTCCACCTTTTTTTGTTGTTTGTTTTTGTTTTTTCATTTGCCTTTTAAGCCTATCACACTATTATTAGGTCTGTCTCATACTAGGTATTGGAAATCAATTTTAAGGTAACCCTGGCAGAGTAGTATAAGGACATTTACTTGGAGTATGACATTTGCTCTTAAAGCAGTTATTACATTTTTTCTGTTAATAATCCAAGTGAAAGGAAGACATGATTACCTGCACACGCTACATAGCTAGACACAAATCCAATATTTAGCACACAGAAATACACAGCTCAACAGAAGGAAAAGAAAAACATGGACTAAACTACTCTTTGCTAAGCCACCCCTTGTGATGCATTTTTTTTTTTAAACTGTCACTATATAGTCCTGAGGTACCCTGAATATCTGTATTTCTTGCTTCTGAAAAGACAAAGATGACAAACCTTACTATCAATTTCACTGCTCCCCAGAGCAGACTGGATCACGTACAGCAATGCATCCGTCAGGCCATCACACTCCCTCATCCTTCTGCGGGCCTCCTCTCCAGCAGAGCTGACATTCCTGCAAGGCAACAGCAAAGGTCACCACCTGCACAGCTCCCATGCCCACTGCCCCTCCTCAAACATTTTTGCAATTAACATACAGATAAAACATTTGTTTCTTCTCCTTTCATCAGTTCAGAGCTGTGAATAATGAAGACAGCTGTGAATGAGTTCCGGAAATGTAACACAGAGGGGAGCAAATGGAAGTCATCAGGTCCTCCACAAGAAAGGGCTAAGAGGCCAAGCAGCATGCACCTACCTGAGCTGAGACTCATCTTACTATAATTTGTAGAAGAGCTGATCATTTATCTTTTTCTTCTTTTTTTTTTCTTTGTAAAGAATGGTTTTATATTTATGAAAAAGTGTTTTTAAATGTGCATATGTACATATAAATCAAGCTTTGACAAGTCTACAGGTTTTGCCAAAGACATCTCTTAGGATTTGAAGAGCCCAGTAGTTGGGGCTCTTAACCTGTGAGAAAGAGATTATCAAAGCATAACATAAAACACCTGGTATTGCTTGTTTCTCATTTTACTTGAGTATTTCCTTTTCTCTCTTTCTGAGAGAACACGGATGCCAAAATCTTCTCTTTACATCATAATTTGCAAGTTGTTTTACATTGCAAAATTCAAAACCTCATCTTATAATAATTGTTTCTCAGAGAGGGCCACAGGGCTTTCTGAACGTCTTTATAGAAACACAACTGAAACAAATTTTACTGAATAATATAATGTGTTATAAAGTTCAAAATATTGATATAAAAAGACAATTCTGTATGAATGTGCATATATAAATAGAATCTGTACTTGTTAACATCAAGAAAAACTGAGAAAACTTGTATTCAAATTTGTGCAGCGGTTCTGATTGGAAATGGATGAAGTAGCAGTCTCAGGGATGGGGTGAAACTTTTCAGATGGTTTCCATCAGTAAGGGTAGACATCTGAGGTGCTCATCCATAGCTCTCCTCTCCCCACTCCTGAAGTTTATACAAAGCAAGAACAGATAGGCACTCACACCAGCCCTAGGTACTCAATATTGAATGTACGGAAATGGAAAAGAGGACATTGGCTATTTGATTTGGGAAAAAAGAAAGCACTTTCTTTCTTTTACTCTATTTTAAATTGCCTTTGTATCAAAGGCAGAAAGAAGATAAGAATCCTGGAAGAAGGGAATAAATTTTAGGTGGAGGAAGGTGAGAGAACTTAAGGTTTCCTTTCAGTTCTTTGCTCTATCTACTTCTGTTCTGCCTCCTTATCATCCAAAAAAAGAGCATTTCCATTCCAACAAAGCACCAAAGATTTTTCCTAATCAAGTACTCTCATAACTAGACCATCCCTCAATCACTTCAATGCAGGTTCCTAATTGATTCTACTCCCTAAGCACATGTGATTTTCAAGCTATACTTGCCACCCCACACTGTCCTAATCAGCCCTGCTCTCCCCCACACAAGCTGCCTCAATTAATTCAATACTCTTCCCTTCATGTATGCAGACAGTCCCATGTAAAACATACAGTCCAGGAGCGGTAACCAGAATTGATTCCTTTATCTTGCCAGGACACAAATTCATGCTTTCCATTCTCCTAGAGACTCCACACTTCTCCCTGCATCACACATCAGAAATGTGCCCTCAGTAATGGCTTGCAAGTTCTGTGTTCTGGCAAGTTTTATGTCATCTTGTTCTTCTGATCCCTGAACCCAACGCCTCTTCCCTTCTTCTGCTACAGAAGCAGTAGATGAGTTTTCTTCTAACTCAGGAGGAAACTCTCTTCTGTCATCCAAAAAGCATTAGCTAGAAAAAAATCTTTCATTAGCTCTCTGTTTTGAGTGATGGAAATCTTCTGACTCCCCCTTTGGGTGACAAAAATCAGGAGATAAAAATTATAGTGTATGGCTTTCCTCAAACAGTGCCTATGCTTTTGCAGTGCTGGAGACTCTAGCTTAAGTACATTTTGAGTAGAATGTCCCCTTTCAGCAGCTCTGCCTGAAATTCCTGAAGGGAAGCAAAAGTAGGACAAGCAGAGCTGTGGATCTGAAAAGTCCACTGGGGGTGGAGGGTGGGTGGTGAGGAGAAGAGGGGATTAGTGGACTTCTTTTATCTAAAATTCTACTCTACTACCCTCTGGCAAGATAAAGAAAAACAGGAAGAGAAAGAAAGCTGTATCCAGCCCTGAAAGAATACTGCAAATGGAGTAACTGTACAAATTAAAATAAGAGGATACTGAGGAAGTATCATTAAAAAAAATAAAATATTACCAAATCCCTTTAAACAGCACTAGATGTAGCATTTTTTATTACCGTTGCATGTCCAGGCTTTTTCATTTTCTTAAGTTGCATATGCTGAGTGCAAGCTTTCAAAACCACAGGCCAGTAAATGCAGAGAGGTACATTCTCCCTAGTCTTTTCACTGAGGTGATTTCTCCTTCTCTCTAGCATGGCCAAATGCATGTCACCAGAGCCTGCCTAGACTGGAAGCCTCTCAGCTCCTCTCCAAGCTCACCAGAAAACCCCCAACAAGCCAGCAATACAGATACAGACAACCTTCTAGTCCCTGAGCTGCGAGCTGTCTGCCTCATTCACTTCTAGCTAAGCAAGGAATATGAAGCCTTTATACAGACACACCAGGGGCACATCTTGCACAGAAAATGCACTTCTTCACCCTGTATGGAGGAGCTGTCAAGTTCACTTTTACAGTTTATCATCTTTCCTCATTATGCTCCAGCTGGTTCTGTAATCATAAGGTGGATATGCTGAATTCCCATGACTGCTTCTCCTTTTTTTAAAAGTCTCCATGTAGATTCAGTACCACCTCTTGAATACAGCTTACAGCTACTGCAGCTCTCCCAAGATCTAGCACATTTATTTAGATTTGAAATAGCTTAAAAAACAAGACAAATCCAAACTTCACATGAACACGTAGGTATAAATAATTATTTGATTACTTAAAAAGAAGTATATTGCATTATCTAATTATTCCCCTTTCACCTCTGTTGAAGGAAACATATCCCCAACTTTGCAAATCATTGCTAACTGAGATCTTTTACAGAAGGGCACTAACATAACCACAACCATGTTTGGGCTATGAAGTTCTGTGCAAGAGAAACAAGTTCCAGGTTACTCAACCTGACAAAGAAAGCCCCCTGCCATCTTAATTTTCTTATTTCTAGTTGTTAACTCAAACAAGCTGTAGCTGGCAGTGTGGCAGGGAGTAAGACATGCTTTGCCACTGGTGAATTTACAGGTCACTGTGCAAACCATCAAATGGAGCATTAGTACTGTCTACCAGCAGTAACATGTCCCACTAAGTAAACACATATTTTTCCAGTGTCAGTCTCCAAATAGTTTTAAAGGTGAAACTATGTTTTCTGGATTTTAAAAGGATATGGAGATACAATGCACAAGTTTTCAGGAAAAAAATAGTTTTCCATCACAAAGACAGACCAGCAAAAGCTTGATTGCCTGGTGTATTTTCTTTCTGTGTGGAAGCTCTGTTCACAGGGTATATGCAAGAACAGATTTATCAGGTGCAAGCTGACATTTTGAATCTAGGACAAGGAGCACTTTAGACCTCCATAAACTAGTCAAATTAATCTCAAATTGAATTCACCCACACAGGAATACCAAGAATACAAAGTACTGAAGAGTAACTCTCAGGTTAATCAGAAAGTCTTACTCAGACCTCCAAAGACCAGCTAATGTAAACAGCTTGTTCTCAAGAGAAGAACACCAAGAACAGAGAGTCTGAACAAGAGCTCATCACTCTGCTACTTTCTGAATAGTGGCTGAGCAATTCTGCTAATAATCTACAGATAGAAAGAGAACTACAATAATCCAGCTTCAGTTTTATGGGAAGATGCATCACAGTTATCATGTCATCGCCTGATAACTAACAGAAGGTATGACCCTCCAGACATACTAAATGGGGATGTCAATCCAATGTTCTACAGATACAAACTGGGTGGTACAGAGGTATTCACTGCACAACACATACCTGATTCCTGTCAGTCCTAGTGCTTACCTTAGTTATTCAACGAATTTGGTGAGATTTGAGGTGGTGGAAGATGGGTGGTGCTAAGCAATTTCTCTCTCCTTTAGAGTCTTTTCCTCTAAAAACTGTAAGATAACTAAGGCATTGAATAGAACAGTTTGGGTTGGAAAGAACCTAAAAGATCAAATTCCAATGCCCCTGCCATGTGCAGGGACTCTTCCCACCAGACCAGGTTGCCCAAAGCCCCATCCAGCCTGGCCTTGAACACCTCCAGGGATGGGGCATCCACAGGTTCTCTGGGCAACATGTGCCAGTGCCTCCAATAAATAAATTAGTAAATACATTTACTAGTCCCTCCCCAGCTTTCCTGTAGGCCCCCGTTAGGCTCTGGAAGGCCACTTATGAGGTCTCCCCAGAGCCTTCTCTTCTCCAGGCTGAAGGACCCCAACTCCTGTCTTCACAGGAGAGGTGCTCCAGCCCTCTGATCATCCCTGTGGCCCTCCTCTGGACTCACTCCAACAGATCCATGACCTTGCGCTGGGGGCCCCAGAGCTGAACACAGTACAAGTGGGGTCTCCTGAGATCAGAGCAGCGGGGAACAATCACCTCCCTCGCCCTGCTGGCCACAGTGGTTTTGATGCAGCCCAGGATACGGTCAGCTTCTGGGCTGCAAGCACGCATTGCTGGCTCAAGCTGAGCTGCTCATCAGCCAACACCTCCGAGTCTTTCTCAGGGCTGCTCTCAATCTGTTCTCCACCCAGCTGTATTTGTGCTCGGGATTGCTCCAAGCCAAGTGCAGGGCGTTGCACATGGCCTTGTTGAACTCCATGAGGTTCGCACAGGCCCACCTCTCAAGCCTGTCCAGATCCCTCTGTATGGCATCCCTTCCCTCCTGCGTGTCCTCTCCAGAGAGGGACATGGAGTTCTATGGAAGGATCATCTGTAAAGCCACTGTGCTGAGAGTCATCCTCTCTGGATATGGGATCACTTAGCAAACTTTGAACTTACTCCCAGTAGTAGTTCTAGAAATTGC